AGCTGCCCTTATTCCGGGGCACCGGGTGACACTGCACGGAGCGGCTTCGGTTGTTGTTTCGCTTTGCGAAAGGTCACAAAATTAATCTTCTAACTGGGGACCTTGGCACCGTGCAGAATGAGTGTTTTGCATTAACAACCTAACTCATTAATTCACTGAAACATTTAAAACCAAACCAGTTACATCCAGCCAAGCTGGAAAAAGCTGAAAGTTCATACTCAGCAGTGCGGGTTTCGAAACCTCCCTTTGTTAATCTCTGCAGAAGTGAATTTTCTGCAATTGTTAAGCTCGCTTTGACCACTCTGGCGGCATCGTTTTCCTGCAAGGGGACAGACCCAGCGTTGCAGCCCATTAGCAGAGCGCACCTGAGCCCGGAGGGCTGCGGAGGAAGGAAGGTTGGTACGGAAAGAGTGGCCAGAGGGAATGTTTGAAGCCRCGTTTGAGTTTTAGGGGCCATCTTGGACCAAAACGCGACGCTGTTTTCCATAGCTCAGCAGCTGGGATTTGATGGYTTCTCTCTGCCTCCCCTGTCACCTTGTTCTGAACCGCAGGGCTGGTTTAAACCGTGGGCTCAGCACATTCATGCTGCTCGTTCTGCGGGTGTTTAAGCTGGGCTGGCTGGATGCGGGGCCTTGGTGGCCTCATCGGGGCGCGTTTGCTGTCCCCGCTGCTCTGGTGTGACAGTCCTTGGGAACCTGCTTGACAGCAACCAACGTGGTTGTCCCCATGGGRCAGCCCCATGGAGAGCTGCAGAAAGCGGCAGTAGCTGCAGCAGGTGCCTCCAACGGGGCTTCATTTGTCTTACCTTGGTGTTTAGGAGCTGTGAGGAGAACCTTTCAGGGATGGGGACCCCAAGYACCCGAAATGGTCGGTCTGGGTTGTCCCTGCTGTCCCGCTGCCCCCCTGTGCCGTGGCGCACGCGGTACCGCAGCGGGTCCAACACCCAACGCGGTTGTGTCTGTCCTGCGACCCAAGAGGCGTCTGTCGGTTCCGGAGAGGGTCGTTCTGAAATAAAGCCTGTTTCCAGCCGGGTGCTGGGGTAGGATCAAACAACACGATAGACCTGGGCCAAAATGCCCATGGGGCTGCTCCTCCTGCAGTCATTAGGCTCCCCGTTGGGCCCAAGCAGCTTGATCCTGCTTTAAGGCCCTTTTCCTTCGAATTTCCAGTGGCAGGTTTAAGCACACAGGTAATTGCAGAGCGGCGGCTTCTGCTGCAGTTTTATTTCACTGCAGATTTAGCAGCTGTGGATTAAACAGGAGCCATCAATTTGTGCGTAATTCCATGGTTTTCCTGGCTGCCAGGCAGGCGTCTGTCCTTCAGCTGTGGGTCCCTTGCGCTGGTCAGTCCCAGGGTAAATCCTGTGCTCCAGGACCGTAAATCCTGTGCTCAACATGACCRTATAAATTGCTTTTAAGCCCTTACCATGGTGGTATAGGGGGCTGATTTTTAATTGCATGCTCCTTCTGCCCTTCAATTAACCCATCCATTAAGGCAGCCTTGCTTCTTCTAACAACAGCAAAAAGGGGCGAATTACACGTTGTTACATATTAGCAGTGCATTAAAGTATTAGTGCATTCCAGGAGGTGAGCGGTGAATAAAACATGCTCGTAACATGCAGTTATGTAACTGTTCCGTGGAAATGCAGTGGACAAACAGTACACTTGATTAATTTTTTTTTTTTCTCCAGTAAATTGACACAGTGATTCATTTGCAGCTAAACTGGCAATCTGTGTTTTTAGGTGGCATTAATAGTGGGTCCCCAGCAGGGGAGCTGTGCTGGCTTTGGTGGCATTTTTAGCAAAATTGGTGGGGAAAAGCACCGAGCTTGATGCAAACGGGTCAGGAAATGCGACGTGGAGCCTTTGGAGCCTCTGTAAGTGGGTCAGGCCATTCGGATAGACCCGAGGCAGCCCTGGCTRCAAACAGCACAACGGGGGTCTCTGCGAATCTCCATTGCTCTGCCTCAAATTCACTCAGTTGACAGATAAAAATCGTGGGGTTTGATACCTGGGGACCATCCAGCCGGGACTTGAGCTGTCTCCAGCATGGAGCTTCTGGAGCCGGATCTCTATCAATAGCTCTGCTGGAAAGGCAACTCTTGCAGAGGGCCCAGCGGTGCCTCCCCGACCTGTTTCAGAGCTGCCAAAGGAAATCCAAGAAGTATCCGTGAAAGCTCCAGGCTGCAGAGGGGTGAATGTAATTCCACAGACCTCCATGCAGCAGCAGAACCCACTTTTCCTCTTCCTTCCATGCCACGGGCCTCCTTTCGGCTTGTAGAGCTCTATTTTTCAGCCTTATTGTTTTTTTTCCTAATTGATTGGGCCTGGAAAGGTCATCGCCCCCTGCCAGATTGTGTAATATTTAACTTCGAAGCAAAAAATGAGAGTCTCGGGATTGGGGGCGAACGGATGCAGCTCCCTCCTGAATAGCGAAGCCCTTTCATAGCCACCCAAATATTCTGCTTGCTCATGGTGGTGAATAACTCTCTGGTGCTCTGCACATGGAAAGACTAACCACAAAAAGGTGGGAGAAGGRCGGCATAAAGCAGGTATTGAGAGCATCAAGTTCACACCGTCTAATCCAGATGGCAGCAGCAATACTTCCTTATTTATTGATTTTTTTAACTTAAAATGTCTAGCTTTTCATGCAGCTTCAGCATAGCAAACAGTCCTTTCCGATGCCAAGTTCAATGATGACTAACACTATTTACAGGACTATTTTGTAATCTCAGATCAGCCCACGTTAACGGGAAGTTACGTTTTCCCATCAGTCTATTAAACCGTGCCTGAAAGTTGCTGAGGCTGGAATTGGCCATCCCGGCTCTGCTATTTTAAAGCTCCTTTCTTTTTCCGGAACAATTTCTTTTATTAATTTCTCATGAATTTCTAGTTAATTTTCTATTGGTCAGATGTGCTTCCTCAGTTTGATTTTTGCATCTTTCATTCTTTTTGAAAGAAAAAAGAAAAAAAAAAAAGAGAAAAAAGCAGATATTGCAAAAGCCCTACCAGGTTATTTGTCTAATCTGCACTTTTTTATGCATGAGATCAGCTCAGAAGATCTGACATAAGAAACCTATTGGTGCACAACTGCTTTAACTGATAGGAGTTACCTCTGTGGGTTGTCTAGTAGGATGGTAAGTTTTTTATATTTCTTTATATATATATTTTTTTTAGCTCAGGTTTTTATTAGCAATTTTATAAAGCTCCATCTCTGTTACTATTAAATCCCAGGAAAGTCTGGCGCAGAACGTTTGTAATATGAATGAGCGTGTCCATATGCTTCCAAGTGACCCTGCAGCCTGGAAAAATTACAATTTCATCCATGTGTTTAAAAGAAAGAAAAAAAAAAAAAAAGAAGGTTTCCTGTAAATGTTGACAGAAGGGGTTAAGGCAGAGATGTTTCTCTGTGGGATTTGTTGCCTTCCCTGTCACCAGGACCTATTTGGGCAAGTGGCTCCTGGTGCCAGCTACAACAGACAGTTTTAGCGCCCTCGGGTCACGATCTCAGGCCTGGGGCATCCGCGGTGCAGATTGCAAACCTGCAGCGAGCCAGAAACGGGGTTTTGGCTGAAGCCCCAGCCAGCCCCAGCCTTYGCAGGCTGCAGCAGTTCAGCTTGAGAGTAAAACTGGAGCCTTTCTAAAGGCCTTTTTCCCCTTGTTTTCTTTTCATGCAGCAGATCTCCGGTCACCTCAAGGCCAGAAAAAAATGCACTTGTGTTGGAGGGAAATGTCACTTTCTCAGGAATAGCCACACCTGCCTAATTGTGGGAATATTGACAGTCCCAAGTGTTGCAGGATTGGGAAGGCTGGAGAAGCTGCGATAAGCGGGTGCTGCTGGATGGTACTTGGCACTGGGGCCCTACCTTTGCACGCAAGTCTAGGCAAAAAAACTCAACTGATACTATTAAAACAATAACAAAATGTGTATGTGGTAATCTCAATAATGATTTGCTTGAGCAAGGATGGCCAAAATACATAGCTGCAACAGCAGCCGTGGTGCTCTCTCCAGATGTGCCTGCCTGCGAAGGCCCTTGGCACGGGCACGGCCCTCGGAGCTGGCATGGAACTTGGAAAACGCCGATTCTGAAGAAATCGAAACATTCTGCGGGAACACGTTGATTTTGGTCAGGTTTTCTGATGGAAAGCGGGCAGGTTTCCCAGGGCGGCCYTGCCTGGCGCTGCTTCCGCGCGCCGGCCGCGAGACGCCGAGCGCGGAGCCGGGAGCTCGGGCACGCAGGGAGCCCGGGCGGCTCCGCTGCACCATAACCTGACTCGTCAGGGAAGCCGGGGGGCAATTACCAGCATTTTTCCTCCTGAAATGAGGATTTGGATGTCTGAGCAGAGCAGCTGTAGCCCTGAGGGTGAACATGAGCTCCTGTGGTCCAAGGTTTCGCCGTAGAGACAGGGACCCCGTATCCGTGGTGCAGGCTCTAAAGGAGGCACTGCACAGTTGCAGCGTGGAAGAAAATTGCTCTTCTTTGGGCCACTTAATTGCAAGTGAATCCCAGGAGCAGATGAGGATTGTGGTGCATATAATACACCAGAAATACCCAGCGTTCATTTGAAAGCAGTTGCATTTGGAGGGGAAAAGAGCTCTTATATCTGCCTCACATCAAATGCTGGTTGTGCCTAGAACTGGCGGCTTAGAGGTTTTGGTGGAAAAGGCTCAAGTTATGGGGAGGGAAAGAAAATGGGGGGCAGAACAGGAGGCACCTGGGAGGGAAGTTCTGCAGTCAGCTTCTCCTTGGGAAATCTGCTCTGCTGCCAGATCACAGTTTGGCATGGCCTGGTTTTGTGTTTAGGTTTTTAGGTTTAGGTTTTAAACAGATAATTCCCTGATTGTACCTACAAAAATATAGTTAAATCGAAGGTCAAGTTAAAATTTTCCAGTGTAACAGGCTGAAAATGATTTATTGAGTGCAACAGTTAAATACCAGGACAGTTGTGCTATGCCTAGTGCCTGGGGAACTAACCCTTCCTCTCTCYCCTTGTCCTCAGGTTCAGTGGCAAATATGAACATTTGTCAACATTTGACAAGAACTCCTTGGGACACCATGAATTTGCTGCAATCTGGACCACAGAGCATTTGCAATAGCACTTTTAAATTCTAATTTAATTTAAATTAAAAATTATAAGAGTCATCCGGATTAACTGCAGTCATGGCTAGCAAAAGAAAATCCACGACTCCCTGCATGATACCAGTAAAAACGCTGGTGCTTCAGGAGCCCGAACTGGATGCTGTARAAAATGATCATAAAGGAACTCAACAGGACGTTCCTCCTGAAGTGCCTGCACCTAGTGATGCTGGTGCAAGCAACACTAGTAACAGAGCGTTATCTAACGGGCACCGTGGTATTGCTGATGGCGACACTTACGTGTGCAAGGACTGTAACTTTGGATCTCAAGATGTTCACTCTTTCATTGGGCACCTGGACTCTGAGCACTTAGATTTTAGCCAAGATCCGGTGTTTGCGTGCGTTGCGTGCAGCTTTCTGGCAAAAAGCCATGAGGGGCTCTCGCACCACAACGCAGAGGCCCATGCTGGCGAGACCAGCTTCACGTGGAGCGTGGCCAAGAAGGATAATCAAACCACCGTGGAGCAGAGTCTCTGCGAGGCCGCCGGCAGCCACGAGCCTCCCGCGGAGCTCCCCGAGGAAGCGGCAGACGGTCAGTCCGAAATTATCATCACCAAAACCCCCATCATGAAGATAATGAAAGGCAAACCCGAGGCCAAGAAAATCCACACGCTCAAAGAGAACCTACCGAGTCAGCCGAGCGGCGAGTTGGAGGCGAAAGACGCAGAGCATTCGTTCCCCAACGGGTCCGTCCCGGCGAGCCAGCCCCCCGCGAGCTCAACCAAGTCGTCCCACGTGGCCAACGGCTCCCTCATAGGAAACGTGCCCATTTTGCAGGCGGGTGTTGCCCACCTCGTTTCCCTGCCGCAGCAGCCACCACTGCACCAGCAGCTGCCCACGTCCAAATCCCTTCCCAAGGTGATGATTCCCTTGAGCAGCATCCCAACGTACAACGCGGCCATGGACTCTAACAGCTTCCTGAAAAACTCCTTCCACAAGTTCCCTTACCCCACCAAAGCCGAGCTCTGCTACTTGACAGTGGTGACAAAATACCCAGAGGAGCAGCTGAAGATCTGGTTCACRGCGCAGAGGTTGAAGCAAGGCATCAGCTGGTCCCCAGAAGAGATAGAAGACGCCAGGAAAAAGATGTTTAACACGGTTATCCAGTCCGTGCCCCAACCCACAATCACGGTTTTGAACACACCGCTAGTTGCAAACCCCGGCAATGTCCCACACCTCATTCAGGCCACTTTGCCCGGCCACGTGGTCGGGCAGCCCGAAGGAACGGGGGGCCTGCTCGTTACACAGCCCGTGGTGACCAACGGGTTGAAAGGAAGCGGCTCCTCCTTCACGCTAGCGGTGACCTCGGCTGCCAAGGCCCAGCCCGCGGCGCCGCACGGCACCGTGAGCTCCGGTAACGCGTCCACGGTGAAGGTGGTCAACAGCGCCCAGGCCCTGCTCACCGCGTGTCCGGCCATATCCTCGCAGGCCTTCCTGGACCCCAACGTGTACAAGAACAAGAAGTCCCATGAGCAGCTGTCCGCACTGAAAGGCAGCTTCTACAGAAACCAGTTCCCTGGGCAGGCCGAGGTCGAGCGGCTGTCAAAAATCACCGGCCTTTCCGTGAAGGAGATTCGGAAGTGGTTTAGCGACAGGAGGTACCATTACAGGAACGTGAAGGGCGGCCGAGGCGCGTTTGCCGGGGATCCCCTGGATTCCCTGCCCGAGATGCCCTTTGATGTGCCCCCCAAGGGTGCCGAGCTAGCGTCCACCACGGCAGCAACGCCCGTCACACATCACCAAACGAGGCGACAAGCCTGGCATCAGACGCCTGACTTCACGCCCACCAAGTACAAGGAGCGAGCGCCCGAGCAGCTGAAGGCTCTGGAGAGCAGTTTTGCACAGAACCCTCTTCCTCCAGATGAGGAGGTCAATCGCCTGCGSGGTGAGACCAAAATGACACGCCGAGAAATCGATAGCTGGTTCTCTGAAAGGAGGAAAAAACAAGTGGCRGAAGAAAACAAGAAGGTGGAGGAAGCAGTTCAGCAGGAGGAGGAAGAGGCTGAAAATGGCTGCGGGGAGGAAGACTCTTCCGATGACCTGAGGGCCTCAAGTGAGAACGGCTCCGGGGATGCCTCTAGCAACAACCCAAATTCAGAGGAGCGCAAAGTGAGTCCCATCAAAATCAACCTGAAGAACCTCCGAGTGACTGAGGCCAACGGCAAGGGCGAAGTCCCGGGGATCAGCGCAAGCGAGAAGGGGGACGGCAGCCCCAGCCGGCCCCCGACCCCCCCAAAAACCAAGCTGAACTTCAAGAAGACCGCCCAGCAGCGGCACTTGCTCAAACAAATGTTCGTGCAGACGCAGCGGCCGACCAACCAGGAGTACGACGCTATCGTGTCGCAGACGGGCCTGCCGCGGGCGGAGGTGATCCGCTGGTTCGGAGACAGCCGCTATGGCTACAAGAACGGGCAGCTGAAGTGGTACGAGAACTACCGGCGGGGGATTTTCCCCCCGGGCGTGGTGGAAGTCAGCGCCGCCGGCAGGGAGGTCTTGGAGGACTATTTCAGGCAGCACAAGGCGCTGCGGGAGGACGACCTGGCGGGGCTGTGTGAGCGCGCGCAGCTCGGCGCCCCGCACGTGCGGCTCTGGCTGGCGGCGCGGGCCGACGAGGAGGCCCGCGGCTCGAGCGAGGCGGGCGGCGAGGATGGGCAGCCCGGCACGGGCGACCAAGCGGGGAGCCAGAACGGGCCGCGTGGCGCCTGCCCGGAGGCGGCCGAGAAGGGCGAGGCGGCGGAGGCGGGCGGCGCGGAGGCCGGCACGGAGGCCGATGTGGAGGCGCGCGGCCAGCCGCCCGTGCGGCCGCTCGGTAAGCTGCTCCCCTGCCCTGCCCCGCGCAGCTCACGCCTTGTCCCTAGGGCTGGGGCACGCGTAGACACCGGCGAGGCACCGAGCACCGCGCGGTTGGCAAACTGAGGCTTTAGGGAAGGGTCTGGCAGGGCTCCTGCTCGCTTGGGATTGCCCTGGAGAAGCAGCAGGAATTGCTCCAGGAAGGGGGATTGGGGAGGGAGGAGAGGGACGGGCCGGATGCCACTGCCCCTCCATCCCAGCCCGCCCCATAAGGMGCCATTGGCAAAGCTCTCCTTGAAACCCGGCTGTTACATCCCGCATGCCCTGCTGCTGCCCAGGGCCAGGCTCGAATGGAGCCTGCCGCGACGGAGAGGACATGGAGGGCTGGACTGGCGCCTGCAGCCGCCGGCCCTGCCCCTGCTCCCGGACTCGCCCTTGAGCAGCCTGTGTGTGGGGAGGAGAGGTGGTTTCCAACCCTCCGCGGGCTCTTCRGCAGTGCAGCTGGGGGCTGTTTGCTCCCTGGCCGGGCTCCCAGGGCATGGRGAAGGCCAAGCACGGCCATATCCCTGTCCCGCCGCACGCCCTCCTGCTCGGAGCCTCCCACACACCCCTGCCCTGGGCACAGGCCTGGCCTTCAAGCACTTACCTCCAAATCCTTGGTTCTTTCCCTCCTCTGATTCAATGGAGATGGAGAGCAAGCTCACATAGGGCTGCATCATTACTGCAACTGGAAGCTGCATCAGGCACCATCCTGYACCTGCTGGGAAGCAGGAGGAGGACAGGACTATCCTGCCACCTCCATGGGTTGCARGCACAGGCTGGTGCAGAGGGAAAGTCCCCTCCTGAAGGCAGCTGCAGCTGCTGATTGTGCCTTCCACGAGCTCCACCTGCATCCCGCTGCCGCAGCCCGCACCTGGCTGGTGCTCAGGTGCCTGCAGGATCCCCCTGACACATGTGTTTCCCTTCCAGAAACAGACTGAACGCCAATTGCCTGCCCTGGAGGAGCTGCTCTTACCCTCGAGGAGACAGTTTTGCTCTTTTAGGAAGTCCCTGGGCCGGCCTGACGTGCGCCTCAGGAGCAGGACGTGGTGTTGAAGCGCTGCCGTGAACGGGACCTTTGAGCAGAGCGCGGGGCGCGCGAGCGCCGGGCGCAGCGCAGGGCTCTGCGCAGCCCGGCCGAGCAGGGGGCTGCGAGCGGGCCGAGGTGGGCGCTCAGAGCCCCCAAAATCCCATTTCTCGAGTGCTTTCTGGTGGACAGACTCTCAGATTTCATATTCATATACCGATGCCTACAGCTGCCTATACAAGCATAATGAATCTCCGACCTCGTGTTAACGAGGTTGTTGCTTTAGATATGGACTATCATGGCACAATACTTCTTTTTGTTGTTGTTTTCTCATCTGTCCATAAGGTGTTTGTTCTCTAAAGGTTGGCATGGCTGCATAAGTGCTCTCTCGATCCCTTTGGTCCTTAAGTGCTGATAGGGAGGGGGTTTGTGTGAGTGCACCTGCGTGCACTTGTGTGAGTCTGTGGGGATTAGGAAAGGTATCTAAGAAAACTGCCAATCTTGCATTATAGTGGAAAGGTTTGTGAGGTTTCATCCCTAGGGATGAGGTCACATTTAGCATTGCATACCCTCCAGAAAGCAGCAGAAACCCAGACAGGGTTTGTTTCTCCTTTGCCCCTTGCTGGCTACAGTACTTTTTCCTCCTCTGCTCTGGAGCCTCGCTGTAGCAGGCTGTTAAATCTCCAAGTCTCCCTTTAATCACTGAGAACTAGCACATAATAATTTTTCCATCCTGACCTGGAATCCTTTTCATTGTTTGGAGGGAACAAGCTGTTCTTCGGAGAACAAATGTGGAGAAGACGCCGTGTTGCTGCTAAGGGCTGGAGCCATTGTTGTCTCCAAGGGATCTGCTCCTCAGGCAGCTCTTCTGCACTCAGGAAGTTTGCCTGTTACAGCCCTGCGCGACAGATCCTGCTGCAGCCGTGCTGGTAGCTCCAGGAATTTGCTCCAGTCTTTTTCTTCAGGCCATCTACAGGAGTTCTGGCTTCACGTGAAARAACAAAATAAATTTCCCAGTTGCTTTTCAGTTACCTGCTTCTTAGTATCTACACCTTCTTAACGTGCCCGTGTTGTCTTGGGTGGTTGCTGTCCACTTGAAGATGTCTTCATATATATATTATATATATATTCCTTTCTAATAGAAGCCAAGATCTGGAAGGGAACTCTTGAGTCCAACCAAACACAGTGTCAGACTATCCTGTCATAAACTAATCAACCCCCCTGCTCAAAATTGGTTCCATGTCTTGCCTTCACTTTTGCTCTCGGAAGGCTATTCTAGAACTTCACTGCCTTTGAATGGTTAGGAACTTTATTTAAATTTCTAGTTTGAATTAATTCGTGGCCGGTTCATTCCTGGTTTGTTTTCAAGCCAACATTGTCCTTCAACTTAAATAGTTTTTGGTGTTTATCCACTGATGTATTTATGGAGAGTAGTCATAGTTCCTCGTTTTTGCCAAGCGAACCCAGCCAAGCTTTCTCAGTAGAAGGTTTTTATTTAGTGAGAGCTTTTAATGTGGGAGACTTTATTGTTGGTGGTAAATGATATTTATTAGAAGGGTGGGTAGCAAGCCCCAGAGGATCGAATCCAGAGGCTTACAAAAAAAATCTGTTTAAAAACAGAAAGCTCTTCCAGAACCTCATCCAAACATGCTGTCTGGCTTCTACCTTCAGTTGCCTTTGCTTTTCTAATTCTTTCTTCACCCCCCTCTTGGAGAGGCTGAGGTCGGTGCTTGGTGCACGGGGCTTCCCTTTGCCCAGCTGTGCATGTCCACATCGACAGGCTCCCGCTGCAGTCAACAGAGAGCTCGCTGGGTGCAAAAGCATCTCCTTGTAAAGAAGGTGACCTGCACCCTAAACAGGGCTGGGGGTGACTTGTTAGGATGCAGACACCTGCCCTGCAACCACATCCTCCCTTTAGCAACCAGACAAATCCTTCCCGAGATGCTACGAGCTGACACGAAGCTCCCTCAGTTCCTTCTTCCTCAGAAGCTCTCGCCGGTCGTGCCTGGGCTTGAGGCACAACCAGCCACCATCCCACGGCTGCCGCGCGTCACTCCAGCGGCACCGCGTGTCCCTGAGGCTGCAGCGCCCTCGTCCCGAGGAGCAGAGCTGGGTGTAATGTGAAAACTGCCAGAATCCCAAGGATTGAGCCCGTGCAGGTGCCACAATCCTGTGATTCCACGGGTGACAGCGGAGCTGGGTGCTCCTAGAGCTGAAGGCACCAGGTCTAGGAGTGCTGAGAGTGTGAGTGTCTGCACAGTGTTACCTTCAGAGAACAAATACAGGTAGGTAATTTACTCTATCATCTATGTACATGCAGGTTTATTTAAGTACACATATATACAGTTCAGATATGCCATTGATTCTTTATCACATTAAGATGTRCATTAAAAGTGTACACTTTTACTAACTAACTGCTATATAACTATGTTGGAAATGTGGTTTGCCCATTCAAGGTGGTTTTCTGTGGGATTTTTGGTGTACACTTAAAGGCTTACGCTAATTGGAAGGGTGATCCCCACTCCATCTACAGAAATGCTTAAGGATTATGGTATGAACTGGTCCCTTCAAACCAGTTTGCCAGGCATTAGCTGAAGTTTTTTTTTTCTTGCATTTGGAATTTGGATTGAATTCGGCCTGTTTTCCAGAAAAAAAAAAAAAAAAAACGAGAGAGAGAAATCTTGTGAGCTAGGGGGAGAATTTCCCGGTGTACACAGAAAACACAGCCTTGAGGGTTGGAAGCTGCTGAGGTTTTGAGCTTTGTCTCCATGCATTCATACAAGCACAGCAGGAGTTTTCTTTCTTTTGGGGCAGAGGAATTTCAAAACTGKTTCCAGGCAGGCTCTCCTCCTGCACAGCAGCCGGGTGAAGAGGCTGGCAAGCCCTGTTGCATGGGCAGGGTGAGATCTGAAGAGGACTGCAGATATGCAGCTCGTGAAGCAGGAATCGATACGTAATTGAGTTCCCTTTCTAACTGCCCCGCTGTTATCTGCATTTGTAGTTGACTTGAAACTTCCTTGAAAACTTAAGCTCAAGATTTGAGGGTTTGGCTCTGCAGTCCTTTGTTTCCCTATCACATCATTTTGGAAGCTGAAGAGAAGCAGGTATCATCTCCGAATACACTCAGGTTTTGGTGCAGGATTTTAGAAACACGTTTGTATCTGAACCTGAAGGAAAGGAGAGGTGGCTTGACAGTCCCAGCAGCAGCTCTTCTGGTGTGGAGAGGAAGCATTGCCACAATTCGACACACGGCATGAATATTTATCAGTGTTCATCGAAGATGACTATGGTGACTTAAAGAGTTTAAGGTAGAGGTCATGCAGCCAGCATCAGCAGGGAAGGGAAATTAATTTCTTCGCCTCCGTCGGCTACGTGTGAGCTCGGGTTTGACAGACCCAGCAGTAAGCATCAATTTTAATCCATGTGAATCTTGTTACTTATTTCTCTGAGACTGCTTAGATTAAGGTTGCAATCCAATTACTTAATCACCTGAAACCCTGATTTGTGCTGCACCTGCCTCACTCATGTAAGGGCTGCTGGTCCTCCTGGTGCGGGGAACAGCGCTAATTTATCTGTTAATAGCAACAGGGCCCAGATGAGGCTTCTTTTCAACACAGCTCTGTGTTTTGTATGGCTGGCTTATTTTTTCTGTTCCTTGACTAATATCCTGGAAGTCCTTTTATTATTATTATTATTATTATTATTATTATTATATTTTTAGCAGAACATTAAACAAACAGTGATGCACAGGAACCTACTTCCATTGGCCTGAGAGCCGCGTGCTGCTGCACATCGGGCCTGCAGCCAGACGAATGGACACGAGTGCTTGCTCCAGCTTCGGGTGCTTATTTAACACAGTCCCTTGTCCCCTTTCTGGTGGGGACTTGCACTGGTCACCATGAGAAGCCATCAGCCGATGGCAGCCGCAACTAGAAACCCTGCAGACGGGACACCCATCTTAATGCAGAGCCCTAAGGTGACAGGGACACTTGCACAGAAGCTGCAGTTGCAAAACATCCGCTTGGTTTATTCTTGCCACTCATCCCYTGCCTGTTCAGGAGGATGGGGAAGGTTAAGTGTTTGGAGTTTTATTCCTATTTATTTTTTTTTTTTTTTGTTGAAAAAGCAACAGTTTTGGTTGGAGGGAGATCCCCCTTGGTGATCAATAGCCTGTGAAGAGATGTGATGCAGGAAACCTGATCAGATGGTGATGGTCAGAAGCTGGGGTAAATGGTGATCAGAAGGGAAGGTGTTTTCAGCACTTTAGGCACAAATGGGCAGGGTAAGATGATACTGCACCTTCCCATGGTATTTCTGGTATTTTATAATCAAGTTCATTTAAAAATGCTTTAAACTGTTCTTGTCTGCTTCCCAGATAACTTTGGCTTCACTTTTTGAATCACGCTATGGCCTGGTGTGATTCTGCTCACAGGGGAGTCCAATGGGGACAGATTAGGCAAAGCTACAAATAGGGGGGGAATGGACTTGTGATTTTTAGTTTTTTGCAAGTTTAGTTTCTGCTGTATTTTTGTTTTTTGGCACTGGTCTCCACCAGGAATGCTGAATCAAAACTTACTTTAAAGCAGAGCAAGTGACCTCTGTTTATCTAAGCAGTGATTTCTTTTTCTTTGCTTGTTCCAGTAAAGAGTGCTCTTTTGGCTCAAGTTGACCATTTTTTGATGGTGTGAATAAAGCCAGTTTTTCCTGTACTGCTGGAGATGGTATTAGGAGGACTCATTATTGGTGCTAGCGAAGGTTGGGATAGGAATCCACGGYGTAGAAAATTTCTTGCTAAAAAATTGCACTTTTTCTCTGTGCCCCRTCTGACTCGTGGTGTCATAATGGGTACGTGGCTGAATTTCCCCTTGCACATACTAACATTGCACTAAAAAGAGAGACTTTGGGAACAGCGTGTTGATCACTTTGTTTCTCACCAGACCACAAAGTCAGCCTAGTGGGGTCTTTTGTTTGTTTGTTTGTTTAATTAATATTATTTCAAAATCATGCTGGTGCTGAATGACCTGGAATTTTTGCTTGGATTTATCCAAAGGAAAATGT